AACTTCTCCAGACATTGCCAAATTTGCTCTAGGGAGTAAATATCCTCTCCAGTTGAGAAAACAGAAATAGATTAATGTCCCTAATAAATACAAGGGATTAAAAACTGCCTGATAAGAGAGACTCAGCAGGCATTGTGGTACACATCTTTAATCCCAGAACTTGGGAAACAGAGACATGTAGATCTCTGTGAGATAGAGGACAGCCTGGTCTACATAGTGAGTTCCAGACCAGCTAGGGTTCCGTGATGACCCAGTGAGAGAGTGTGAGAGAGAACTACCAAGAGAAACGATATAGGGATACTAGCATTAGAAAAGAGATTTTTAGGGGCTGGAGAAATGGCACAATAGTTAAGAGTGCTTGCTGCTTTTCCAGAAGACTAGAGTTCAGTTTCCAGCACTCATACTGGGTGACTCACAGCCACCAGCAACTCTAGCCCCAGGGATCAGACATTCTTTTCTGGCAACCTTGGGCAACTACACAGGTGCACATTCTCTCTCTCTCTCTCTCTCTCTCTCTCTCTCTCTCTCTCTCTCTCTCTCACATATACATAAATTTTTAAAAAAGAAAAGAGATTTTTTATGTTGAAAAAGTATTACTCAGAATAAAGAGGAATATTATGTAAAAAGAAGAATTTATGGGGGGGACAAGAATTCCAAGTCTGTACACAATAACATAATTTTACAAGTTGTAGTGGGAAAAATTTCAAAGCTACAAATGGAAATTTTCCATCATGGTGGTATACCTCAATATACTTCCCTTAGACTCTGACAGAGTAACTATAAAACAATCAACAAAGTCAATGTCAGAGATAGTAAATTTGAGCTAAGTATCACATATAGGATACTGCATCCAAAAAAAAAAAAAAAGCCCAAACCACATAGAACCATTTACATAGACTGACCATGTATCAAGTTGTCAAAAGACCTAAATAAACGTTAACTCAACCCAGCTGTGAGTCCTGTGAACTACAATAACAGCTGGTCTGCAAGACATGCCCACTGGTGCAACAGTGGTATGAATATTATGGGAGTAACCAAACACTCTTTAATTGGATTTAAGGTCTACTTCATAGAATGGAGCCCATACCTGACATTAATATCAAACTTAGGAACCTGAGGCCAGACAGGCCACAGAACGTAGGAAAGAACCTAATACTATCTTTCTACTAAATAGGTATGGTATTAAACTGACTTCTAAGGACTTGTTGTTATACCCATAGATTGATGCATGTCTCAACTCAGCAGAGAAATTCCTAATGCAGCAGATGGTGATTAATACAGAAACCTGCAACTGGCCAGTGTACAGAGAACAAGAGGCTGCAGACTGTTTACCCCTGAATAGAACACCTATATTAAACTTCTGCCTCCCAAGGCTCAGGGATCATTGCAGAAGAGGGGGCAGGAAGATTGTAAGAATCAAAGGTGTTGGATCACAAGGAAGCAGAATTTTCCAGGCAGCTGGTCAGTTACTCATATGTGCATATAGCAAAGGAGACCGCATGCACAAGTCCTACGCAAGCTCAAATCAGACAACAATTCAGCATAGACATGAAGAAGAGGGTAAGAAACCCCAAACCAACCTCAGGAAATTGTGTTAACTGATGGCTGCTGGGAGGGGCAGAGTCAGTCTCTTTCAAGATTGGGACTCTTGTTAGGTTAACCAGGCTCCAGTGGACAGACCCATACTGAAGGGCATTTGGGGACACTAATTAGAATCAATAAGCCTAATTATATATAATAGACTACATTAAATTGGGCAGAGGACAATCAAGGAAGTTGTGAACAGGGAAGGGAATCTAAATACCATCAAATTATATTGTATATAAATCACAAGAATTCAATAAAAAATAAAAATAATCATAACCGATTTAATGCAAAACATGAGGATAAGTTACATTTTATAATTATTCTGAACAATAAAAAATATAGTTCCCTAATACTAAATGCTTTTGAACTACAAAAGTTACTGTTAGAATTGAAAGTGCTACATCTTAAGGCATTTGGGAAAGATAATGTAGAATGTTTTAACTCAGAATTGTTGTTACTTTGGCTAAGGGAAGAGGCACCAGAAGCAGCATGAGGGATTTGGAGATGTCCTAGTTCTCAGTTTGGGTGGTGGTTTATAAGTACATATGTGCGTGATGGTTAATCAAGTTGTACTTTTGACTTATGTATATCGTCCTTCCATTAAAAATGTTTTAAAAAAAATCTATGGAATGAAGCTACAGCTGCTTAAAAGTGGTATGGCAGGGGCTGGGGAGATGGCTCAGTGGGTAACATGCCTGCTGTGCAAGCAGGAGGACCTGAGTTGAGCCTCCCAGAATCTATGTAAAGGACAGGCATGCCTATAGCTCCTGGGCTGCAAAGACAGGCAGCTCTTGAGGGATCACTGAGCAGGCTGGCTGGCTGAAATGGCAAGCTTTAGGTTTGGTGAGAGACCTTTTCAAAAATAAGATGGAGAAGCAGTAGAGGAAAAATATCCTGATGTCAACCTCTGGCCTCCACAGGCCATTGCTTGCCTGGGTGAGTGTACCCACTTAAATGCACCACACACACACACACACACACACACACACACACACACACACACACGACAGGACAGTAGCTATGAAATATTGAAAATTCAGTGGCATTCAACTCAAGAGATTGTGAAAGGGCTTAATTTAGACTTTCTTAAAAATGAAGGAATTTTCCAGTGACAAGTACAGATAGACATTGTAGAAGAGGTTACAGGAGACATTAAAGTCAGGATTCAGGAGCCTGCTTACCCCTCCCCCTCATGGCAGGCGCCTGTTTGTCATCTTACCTAAGCGTATAGAAACAGGATGTAGCACTATATTTTTTGTAATTCCCTCAAAAATTGGAAATGATTCTTCTAAGTCACAGCATGCGAACCACATTTGAAGAGGCATCCAGGGAGCTTCTGGCTTAGGAGGACGCTCCTACAGGATGGTAAGAAGAAAATGAACAGCAGGTTACAGAAATGACCAAAATGTGCACATTCATCTTGTCTAAGAGAAAAAAATCAAGCATGGAAAAAATATCCATTTTTAGGGACGAAGAAAAGACTCAGGGGGTAGGAACACTTGCAGTCAAACACGAAGACCTGAGTTCAGATCCCCAGCACCCACATAAAAATCTGAGTGTAGTTGTATACATCTGTAGTCGCAGAGCTAGGAGGCAGAGACAGACAGAATCAGGACGATGACTGGAATGTGTTGACCAGCAGTCTAGCCAGAAAAGGTGAGCTGCAGGCCAGTGAGAGACACTGTCTCCTAGGCATAAGGCAGAGAGCACTAGCGCTGGGCACCCTACAGTCTGTTCTGGCTCCCACTTATGTATGTATGCAGAGGTGCACCCCCCCACATGTGTACAAACACATACACCAAATACAGACACACAGAAACACACACACAAGTAGTAACATGGTGATAGAGAAATGGGAGGTGAGGTACACACCTGTAATACCAGTAGTACTGGTAGTGTGGTGTGCACACCTATAATACCAGTGCTTAGGAAGCTGAGACAGGACGATCAGGAGTTCAAAGCCAGCCTAGGCTACCTAGTGAGTCTCTTGTCTCAAAGAAAGGAAAACAACACAAAACCAAAAGAAATAGCATTGAGTCAATTCCAGTTCTTCAGGGTGCTTCCTCACAGAAAGTAGATGCTGAAATTCTTAGGCTGGCATTTTCAGAGAGCAAAGTTGATCTGGTGAAGGGTTAAAATGAAATCTGTTATACCTACTTCCAGGCTCTTCTGCAACTCCCACACTTGTCTGCCCCAACTTTGGAAATAGTCTGATGGCTAAGGGCATTTATTTTCTCTACAGCTACAGTCCAAAGCCAGATGGCTAGTCCAAGATGTTCTCAATGTGGAAGGTGAGGGAAGCTAAATAGTGGAGCATTGCCAGCACCAACACAAGGGAAAACATAACTTTATGGGGTTGGAGAGGCAGTTCAGCAGTTAAGACCACTTGCTGCTCTTGTAAAGGACCCAAACACCTCATGCCAAACAGTTCATAACCTCTTGTAACTCCAGCTCCAGGGGATCCAACAATGTCTTCTGGCCTCTGCAGGCAACTGCACTCATGTACACATATTCCTTCCCATACACATAATTAAAAAGAAATAAATTTTTAAAGAAGAAAACCATGTTAGTTGTGATGAGTGCATATGGAATTATTTAAGATATTCCTCGAAATCTCCATTATGCCATCTGGCAACATTCCATGAAACATATGATGCATAGTTTTTCAAAAGACAGGAAGGTAATTATGACTATAGGCTAAAACTAGTTCTTTCAAATTTCCATAAGGCTTTGATACTATGTTTTAAAACTGTTTTATTGCATATAAATCACATACCATCCAATCCAACCATTTAAAGTCTACAACCCAATGATTTTAATATAGTAACATTCCACAGCCAATTTTAGAAGATTTGATGCCCTCAAAGAGAGGTGCCTGTGGAAACCAGAAGAGGGCATTTGTTCACCTGGAGCTGGAGTTCCAGGAGGTTGTAAGCTGACTGAGTGGGTGCTGGGAGCCAGACTCAGGTCCTCTAGAGGAGCAGCATACACACTTCCCCACCGAGCTGTCTCTCCAGCCCTTTCTGTACTATTTTAATCCCTGTTTCCACAACATTCACAGCATCTTCAGCAGATGTAGACTTTATCTCAAGAACTCTCTATTTGGGCCTCTATAAGAAGTACCTCTGGTTTCGTCATGAGATTGTAGTAATTCAGTCACTCCTCAGACACTTCTAATTCCTTCTAATTCTAGTTCTCTGACTCGTCAGACACTTCTAATTCCAGTTCTCTGGATATGTATAGTCACATCTACACTTCCTGTACTGAAGTCTGAATTCCATCAAAGTCATCCATCCATGACTAGTTGAAGTTAACTAGTTCCAAACTTCTGCTAATGTTCATATAATCCTTTGACCATCTCTCGAACTGAATCACGAATGTTCTTAATGGTGTCTAGATGTTGAGTCCTTTCCAGAAAGTTTTCAATTTGCTTTGAAAGGCTATATCAGAAAATTCATGTTCCATGGCAGCAACATCCTTCAAGTTAAATAATGAGACTTGAAAATCAAATTACCCCTTCATCCATTGGGCTGTAGAATGGATGTTGTGCTAGCAAGCATGAAAACAATATTCACCTCATACATCTTTATGAGTGCTGTTGAGTGATCTGACATTGTCCATGAACAGTAGTATTTTGAAAGGATTTTCTTCCCCCTGAAGAGCAGATCTTGAGATAATTCAGTAAATCACATTGTTAATAGATGTGCTATTTCTTTTTCTTTTAAAAGATTTATTTTGGGCATGGAGAAATGGCTCAGCAGGTAAGAGCACTGATTGCTCTTGCAGGTGACCTGGATTCTGTTCCCAGCACCCACATGACATCTAACAACTCTAGGTCCAGGAGATCGGACGCTCTCTTCTGACCTACATGAGCATTACATGACATGGATGCATTTACATACCTGCAGACAATACACTCAGACACATAAAATAAAAAAATAATAAAATATTTAAAAAAAGTTTAAAAGAGTTTTTATTTATGTGTTTGTATGTGTATGTACTCATGCATGCAGGTGCCAGAGGTGGCCAGAAGAGGGTCCTGGATTCCCTGGGCTGGGGTTATAGGGGGATGTGAGCTGCCATCAGTGGTGCTGGGAACCTAACTCTGGTCCTCTGCAGTCATCAGCCATTAGACCCTAAGAGTCAGCCTGTCTCTTAGTGCTATGAAGCCAAGCATCAGCTTCTCCTTCCTAGGTACGGAGGTCTGAGATAACATCTTTCAACTGAAGGCTGTTTGTTGACATTGGGAATCTTTTGTTTAGTGATGCTGCCTTCATCAGTGTTTTTAGTGAATCATCTAGAGAGCCTGCTACAGCTTCTGCAACAGCACCTGCTGCTCCACTTTGTCCTCACAACGACAAGGAAGGCTTCTTTCTGTAGACGTTACCACCAACCTCTGCTGGTGTCAAGCTTTTTTTCACTGCTTCTCCTTTCTCAGCCTTCACAGACTCAAAGAGAGCTGGGCCCTTGCTTTGGTTTAGGCTTGGGATAGGGGATGTTGTGGCTCGTTTGATCTTTTCTTCATTTTTAAAATCATTTATGTGTGCATTGGAGTGGTGCTTTTAATTTCCTTCAAGAGCTTTTCCTTTACTTTTGCAGCTTTGCTTACTGTTTGGTGCAAGAGGCCTGACTTTGGGCCTGTCTTGGATCTCAACATTCCTTCCTCAGTAAGCATAGTTGTTTCTGGCTTTAGATTCCAGGTGAGAAATTCATGGCTCTTACTTTCACTTGATTATTTAGAGGTCACAGTGGGGATATTAGTTGGCTTAACTAAAAATTACTTATTCATGATTACAATTTTAAGTCAGACCTTGCACAAAAGTCAACTCTAAATGGAGCGAAGACCTCAATGTGAAACTGGAAACTCAAATTATTAGAAGAAAACATTGACAGTAACCTACAAGATACAGGTGTAGGAAAGGACTTCCTAAATCAGACACCAGTTGCTCAGGAATTAAGGTCAACAATCAACAAGTGGGACCTCATTAAGCTAAAAAGCTTCTGTACAGCAAAAGAAACAATCAATAAAGCATGGAGAAAACCCACAGAGTGGGAAAAAATCTTCATGAGTGACACATCTGACAGAGGTTTAACATCCAGAATATATAAAGAACTCAAAAAACAAAGGACACAATTAAAAGATGGGATAAAAATCTAAACAGAGAGTTCTCAAAAGAAGAAATAGAGATGGCTAAGAAACATCCTAAAAAGCGTTTAACACTAAAAAGGAACCTACCATATGACCCAGTTATACCACTCCTTGGCATATACCCAAAGGACTCGTCTTATTTCAGAGACACTTCTATATCCATTTTTGTTGCTGCTCTTTTCACAATAACTAAGAGATGGAAGCAACCTAAGTGCCCCTCAACTGATGAGTGGATAATGAAAATGTGGTACATTTACACAGTGCACTTCTATTCAGCAGTAAAGGAAGATGAAATAATGAAATTTGCAGGTAAATGGATGAATCTAAAAATTGTTACACTAAGTGAAATAACACAGTCTCTGAAAAACAAATGACATATGTTCTCCCTCATGTGTCGCTCCTAGCATCAAATTCTTATAAACAAGTATCCCAGTCACCACCCATCAAAGTAGCTTCTTTTTCAACAGACAGAGATTATTACAGAGTTACACCACTGGTCACACACAGAGCTTCTCTGTTAATTACCCAAGCCTAAGTGGCATATCTAGGATACAACCTCTGTATCTAAGAGTCATGGAACATAGAACAAAAGATGAAGAGAACACTAAGGCATCTTTCAAGTCTCACCAAATGTAGCTCCCTCAGGCATCAGAGGGCCAGGAACACAAAAGGCTACAAATGGCCAAAATGCAGGGAATAAGAGTCTGCAGAGTGTGGGTCCTTGGACAGGACTCCTATATTGAGGTCTGCGCACCCAGGGCTCAGGGACCAATTCGGAACAGGGGTTGAAAAGATTGTAAGTGCCAGGGAGGAGGCCCATGACCATATGGAAGTAGTCCTACAGGTGCCTGGGACCCTTCTCATACAATCCCACAGCAATGGTGTCAGCATGTACAAGACTCATGCAAACTTAAGCAGACACAAACCCAACACAGAACTGCGGCAATGAACAGCAGGTCTCAATCTTAGTTGAAGAATTATTGGCAGCTCATTACTCCTGGGCAAAGAAGAGCTGATTTTCTTGAAGGGAGAGACTCTAGATAGGCTGACTAAACCCAGGTGGATGAATTTTCACTGAGGGACATCTCAGGACACTAACTTTACTAACTTTATATAATAGCTCTTAATACAAGTGACAGAATGCATGAGCTCCAGTGGGGGGAGGGTGCTGTGGGAGGGATAGGGTATAAAGGGGAAGGGGGATAG